AACAGTATTTATATAATTTTTTACCTCTAATTCACCACTATGTCCAACTGTCGTTGGGCGTGCACAAGGCATCCGGTGCGTGAGGTGTGTACGTGCTCTGGCGTAGTTTACGCAAGCACTGGAAGTGATCTCTCGCGCGTATACGTCACTCATTGTTTACACAGTGCACAACACAGTCATTGTAGGTACGACGGCTAATCAAATGGTACTTACTTGTGCTTATCCAGATTGTTCAAACCGACTTAAAACTAAAAGATTACGTTCTCTCACGCCAACTCATTCGGGAATTATGACTTTCCCAACTTCTGAGCCTGCTCGCCTGAAGTTATGGTTGATTGCTCTTCGGCTGGATATCAACACACTGTGACGAGTCGGCTGCCTCCCCCTAATTATCAGCATCACCCCGTCCCTTAATCACCGCCCTTCACCAGGCTCTCGACATGAGTGGGTGCGTGTAAGAGGAGGGGCGCTGAAATAGCCAGGGCTGGCGGCATGTGATGGGTCACACCTGAACCAAATGGAGCCTCATCACCGCCGCTGTTTAAATGCCGAGCGCGCCTCTCCTCGGGAGACCGGTCTGTTCCCCGTGCATGCACACTGGTGTCCTCGTGGGTCCAGCAGGGGTGCGTAGAGGGACTCCCGTGCCACCAGAGTCGTGAGCTGCCGGACACGCAGTCTGGACGAGAACCGCACCCGTTACTGGGCCGTCTAGTCCCTTCAAGCGCCGTGGGCAGAGAGAAGGATGAAACCGCCGATAGAAGCCGCTGCCCCTCGCGCCCTGGACCGGAGAGGGGAGCGCATGCGGCTGCCGGACTCCGCCCCTTACTGGACCCTTCCTTCCTGACCACTGCCCTTCCCTTCACGAACCCCGCAGCACGACGAGGACACCGGATCCCCTGTTTATTTTGGACACTTGATTCCCTTTTTTCTGGACCCTTTGTTTATTTTCTGTTAATAAAAGCCTCTCCGAGGCCTGACGCCACACCCACTGTGTCTGTCGTTTGCTCCTCCCGCGACAACACCATTAACATAAACTACGCCAGAGCGCGTACACACCTCACGCACTGGAAGCCGTGCGCACGCACAAAGACAGTTGGACATAGTTATGAATTAGAAGTAAAAAATGATATAAATACTGTTCGGTTTCTGGCAGAAGCCGATCGTTTCGTGTCTTAGGACATCAATGTGTCGTCACGAGCCGCAGGGTTTAATTTGGATTTGTCTGTGCACGTTTTTTTTTAAACCTAGATTTTGTTACCATTGCCATCCATTATATGACTGATAGACTGCAACGGTTGGACTTAAAAATCATCAAATGTGTTCTACTGAAGAAACAAAGTCACCTACATCTTGGATGCCCTGGGGGTAAGCAGATAAACATCAAATTTTCATTTTTGGGTGAACTATCCCTTTAACTAATACAAATAACGAGTGGTAACTCAGCTAATCTAATAGGGAAACATACAAACAACACATGCAATATACCAGATATATTTGTAACTGATTAATTATTGTCTAAATAGAGCAAAGGTCTTTACGTGTGTGTGTGTGTGTTATGTGAGCCTGTGGTAATTTACTGGTCAGCCAGGCTCACCGGTGCCTGGCACCGGGGGGGTCATTTACTTGTCTTTGGAAACTGTTTGAAGTCAGTTGGGGAGATGATCGTGGGGGACTGCTTAGCATCTCCTTGATAGTGGGGATGATTATTTGGCAATTTAGCCCCCATATAAATGTAAAGTCTGTGACCAGGACTGTAATTTATATGCAAATGTCAAAGGCTAAAAGGGGTCTCTTAAGCCATAAACCCCAAAGACCATGCATGATTTTACGCAGACGCTACAGGTATTTACAAAAGTTAACAAAAAGATAGATCCTTAGATCCTAGACCTCTGAAACTCAAATTACATGAGGGCCACTGGCCAGGTGGTGTTCTCAGCTTCTGTACTTATGTACATTTTTCTAGTAGCTCTACTTTATTTTTATTTCGGTATCTAGTATTTTTATTTCGGTAAACTTCTCCTTCATTACATTCCAAAGCATGGTATCGACGTTTAAAAAACAAACAAACATATTGTTCCTCGTTATTTCGAACAGAAGAAATCACCACCCCCTCGGAGATGCAAGAACGATTCTTTGTAATGAACCTGTTGAAGTGGTTCACAAATCACTCTGAATGATTCATTCAGGCTCGGACTGATCGGATTGCAGCTAATTTTGAGTCAACAACTCCAATCAAAAAGGGCCAAGAACCAGAATATCGTCAGAACACCATTACTGATGGTGCAAAAAGTTACTAATACTGAATTTTAGTAGTGATTATTGTAAATGAAAATCATATTTAGGTCATGACTCCGTTATTTGTGAACTAAATCTGCTGTAAAAGGTCAAGCTGTTTAAGCCTATTGAAATGACTGAATAAGCAATGTCCTCATTTGTTTGTCACCGTCTGTATGGAATAGGCAGTATTAAAGTAGCAGTTTCAAATGACATAAAGCCATTTGAAACACATCTGAACCCACCGACCTGCACAAGCGCTAACAGCAAAGCCCACCCTCTTTTGTGCGCAGTCAAAGACGTAGAAGCCCTCCATTACTGTGGCTCCAATGACTAAGCCATTTGCTGAAGAGGAGATTCCGAAACGGAAACAGTCCAATGTGCCATCGATATTGGTGACTGGCTGGACGTATAGCTGCGGAGACAAAATTTGATGTCAGCAGAGGAGCAAGTATGTACAATCCTGGATTCTAGTAATTTTAAGAAATTATGTAACATCACATCAAAAACCACAAAGTATATCATTAATTTAGAGTCAAAGGGTCCCATGTACAGTACAATAGAGGGCAATATGGTGAAAATGTATGTTCTAAAGGGAGCTACAATTGCTATGGGGGCAGTTGTGGCCTAATGGTTAGAGAGTTGGACTTGTAACCCAAAGGTTGCGGGTTCGTGTCTCAATACCGGCAGGGATTTTAGGTGGGGGGAGTGAATAACCAGCATTCTCTTCCACCCTCAATACCACAACTGACAACTATTTTATTTCCAGTTAGTCATTTTAATACTTCAACTTAAATAGACTGAAAAACAACTGAAAATTTGAAATGTTGCCTTGGCAACTAACTGAAAAAAAAAAAAAAAATTTTGAATTACAATTAACAAAAATCTTTCAATAGTTTTAAGTTAACAATAAACTACTACCAAACGAAACTATGGCGGTTCAATGTTTCACTAAAGTCGAAAGTATACTTTTTTTTTTATGTGTATGCATACAATCGAACACTTATACTCCATTTGATAGCGTGCACATATGCAGGCGGGCTATACATGCGTTCTAGAAAGTTTCCTATACTATGTCTACGCTATTCTTCTCCAGATGTTTTGACTGATAAAATTAACTTTGTACTCTTTTAAAATGAAGTTGTGTTTATCTCATAACCTTCTCACACAAGCAGTCGTTAATGTGGATGTCTGTTGTTGTTAAAGTCGCCAGTATTTTGTTGTTGTTCCATCTCTTTAGTTTGGTTTTCTTCTGTGAAACAACGGCCCGGGCCAATGTTTCCACCTTGTGGAACAACTGAATAGGGCAAAATCTATTCAATGCACATGTGTGACCTGTGCGTGCAAAGTACAGCTACAAAAATCAGGTGGTGCATGTACAGTACAGTACATACTATTCTGGTGATGAAATTCAGAGTCAAGAGCACTGTATTGGAGACCCTTGTGTACAAAATTAAGTGTACTTTGGGCTTTAGGGAAAGTCCTGACCTGTGGGAGAATGGTGAGGCGGAAGGACTGGCTGGTGTTCATTGCTCTGAGGTAGATTGAGATTTTCGGAAAAAACCTCCATGGTGATTCGCCTCTCATCCAACATGCAAGCTTGGTGCCATCAAAAAATCCAGCCGAGAAATCCTCAATCTAGCATAGCAGGAGAGAACAGAGTTGCACACAATCAATTGTAACTGAGGAGTCATTTTGAAGACTGAGTCCCTTAAACATGCACAAGATTGTGTATGTCAGGCAAGTAATTTGCCAAAATGGAAGGTCATACCAGTGATGTTTGCATAATGGCCTCCACCACAGCACTAAACACATTTCCAGGAAGTCGCAGTAAAGTCGTCCCACTATCCACAATGGCTTTATCCGAGTTGTACTGAACAAAACGACCAAAGGGAAAAAAAGATCAGTCAAGGCCTCCATCAAACAAAAAGTAATACCTGCTCTGCTTCTCTCAGGATTTCTTAAAAATCACTACATTCTTAGCAGTGATATTCTCTGCCATATACTGTATCTTATTGAATGCTTGAGTTGCTCCACTGGCAGACTTTAAAGGTACAATTTCAGCTCACCAGTCACAACTCTTTAATGTTCTCACAAGATCAGATAACCATTGTGTTTTTAAATCACTATCTAAAAGGATGCACTAGATTTTCTGCTTGAATTGGCTTTATTCAAAATAAATGCAAAAGTGCATACTTTCTGAGCTGGACTGTGTCATATACCTCTTTGCAGTCTAGGTTTAAATTGTGGGCTCCAACTTCAAGCTTCAAGACTTCCACTTGATAGTACCATTCTTCTAGGACTGGTGTGTACCAAACTGAACCCCGGTACAAGGTTGGCTCAACTCCTCCCATGATCTGAAACACAACACAAATACATCAATAGCATATAATCTGAGGCATATCGTCTTTCCTTTGTATATACTTGTTAGAAAACACTCTCTGTCTGTATTGGTTCCAGATGTTTTCCCCCTCCTTTTCTCCTCTCCCTCTCTGCTCGCCCTCCCTGTACAGCACTGTTGTCTTCCTTCTGATTTCCCCCTCTTCCATCTGATCTCTCTCTCTCTTGTATTATGTTTTAATATCTCTTACTCATATTCGAGGTACGCATGCGCACATGTATGCATTAGCTTTTCTGGGTTCAAATGTTCAAACGAGGACACGCTAGCTAGGACTCCAAGGTAATGGGGTTCGTGCTGAACTATGGAGATAGTTCAGCATCCTTCGCCAAGTTTATTCCTAATATGTCCATATTTTTGTGGCCATTTTATATAACACATATTCTTGGCCAACATCCTATATGTATGTCATCTATATCCTCATTGGTTAAAGGGTTGAAACTCCCCTCGACATATGCCTATATAATATCTTTGTATCTATGAATAAAGTTGAAGTATTGAGAATACAATTTGATGTGTGTTTTCTTGCTTCCCGGCCGTTATACACTTTAAGGGACTGAGAATTTTTCAGGTGGCAAAGAGAATCTAGAGGGACCATTGTTAATTACTGACAAATGGGGGCTCGTCCTTCCGGGAATTTCTTAAAAAGACAGGTAAGAAACTGTTTTATGCCCTCCCTGTACAGCACTGTTGTCTTCCTTCTGATTTCCCCCTCCTCCATCTGATCTCTCTCGTATTATGTTTTAAAATCTCTTACTCATATTCGAGGTACGTATGCGCACATGTATGCATTAGCTTTTCTGGGTTCAAATGTTCAAACGAGGACACGCTAGCTAGGACTCCAAGGTAATGGGGTTCGTGCTGAACTATGGAGATAGTTCAGCATCCTTCGCCAAGTTTATTCCTAATATGTCCATATTTTCCTGTACATGTGGCCATTTTATATAACACATATTCTTGGCCAACATCCTATATGTATGTCATCTATATCCTCATTGGTTAAAGGGTTGAAACTCCCCTCGACATATGCCTATATAATATATTTGTATCTATGAATAAAGTTGAAGTATTGAGAATACAATTTGATGTGTGTTTTCTTGCTTCCCGGCCGTTATACACTTTAAGGGACTGAGAATTTTCCAGGTGGCAAAGAGAATCTAGAGGGACCGTTGTTAATTACTGACAATACTAAAAATCTTTTAAGACATTAACAATTAATTTAAAATTAAGGCAAGAAACTACCCAGATAGCAAAATGACTCTGGAGCGGATCCGCCCCGGAGTCACCACAAGCTCCGGAACGGATCCGCAAAACGGGTCCGTATCGGAGTCCACTTGCACAGCGCAACGTATCCGGAACAGATAAGGATTACGGATCCGGACCGAATCCGGTCCACACCGTACCCGGATCCGCTAATAAAGCGGTTCATCTGGCCCGGACCCGTTCATGAAGTAACTCATCCGGCCCGGATCCGATCCGGACCCGTTGATAAAGAAAAGGATCCGAACCGGATCCGATCAGGACCCGCTGATTAAGTAACTCATCCGGACCGGATCCGATCTGGACCCGTTCATTTAGTTGGTCTATACCTTATTTAAAATGGGTAATCTGGCCAAAACTAGCTATGGAAACACCTAAAATAGAGCCAGCAAACATTATATAGACTTGACTGCTCTATAAAAGTGTAATATGTCTCCCTTTATTAATATTAATAAACCATAAAATCATTCAAAACTTGAAAAAAATCAACTTTCCTTGGTCAGTAATAATGAAACACTCTATAAAAAGTAAGTAATTACATGAAGAAAAATAAAAAATAAAATGCAACCACAAATTGTACAAAAACATTGTTTTATTTAATTAAAAACCTTACCTCTAGAAAGACAATTCAGTTCAATAACTTTGTAAAGTTAATATTTACGAATGAATTAGTTCAATTCAGCCATAAGGAATTTTATAGCACACAAAAATTTCATTATTCCTAAACGGGATGCGCCGCCATCTCGCCACGGTGCTTTATCAAAAAGTGATAAACCATTAGATCTGTCACAACCAAAATCTTTCAGAACGTTGCAAATAGTTAATTCGGATGAGGAGGATGAGGCATGGGTTTGTGCTGATGTAGAAAAGCTAAAATAATTTTTCAGACAATTGACTGCTTTTCTGGTGAAATTGTCTTCGGCTAAGCAAGATTTGTCGCATGCTGCAAACACGAAACAGAAAGTGGGCGAAAATCCTGTTGCATTTTTCAATCGATTTAAGCATGCTTGGACTGAAGAATCTGCCAAAAAGACAATTCAGTTCAATAACTTTGTAAAGTTAATATTTACGAATGAATTAGCTCAATTCAGCCATAAGGAATTTTATAGCACACAAAAGTTTCATTATTCACTTTGTGTCAGCTTGATGTTGATTTAATAAAATTCAAAATCAGTAAAAATGTTGCAAAATAATGCATTATGAAAAAAAGTCTTGGCGATAAAGCAGCTCTGGAGAAAACAGTGATATCATAATCCAACTCAGTTCAGTTCAAGTCTTGTCATTATGCAATAGTGTAAGTACAATCAAATCAATATTATTCTTGAATATTCAGTGTATTTTAAACCCCAGCTAAGCAAGCCAGAGGTGACAGTGGAACCCAAACTCCAGCAGGTGACTGAAACGAAGAAAAAACAGCTTGGGAGAAACCAGGAGCAGTCAGCTCAGCTCTCCTCTGGATAAATGAACAAAGATGGTGTGATTATGATTTCAGGCTGCATCACTAGTGAGATTGTGGACTGATGTCATTCAGAATATTTCATCCAGCTCCTACTGTTTGAAGATCAGGATACGTCACGCTGTCATTTGAAAAAAATGACATAATAAAATAAATAAAATGTAGTCTGTCCAGCAGGGCTGTCGTTTAGCCAGTAGTGGACGACTGGATTAACAGTGACTATAAGCAGGATAAAACTGCATTGTGGTCCTAGCAGCTCCTGGCCTGACACGTTCATTGCTGGCTATAGGGGTCTGTGCAGAGGACTTGTCTGTTTCTCGTGGTCTTTGCTGAGGATCTGTGCTGATGTCAGTCCAGTCGTGATGTTCACTTGTCGTGGTCTTCGCTGACATTCAGGGCTGCGCTGGGGTCGTCTCAGGGTGCAGGTCCATCATCTGATCTGGATACGGACCGGATCCGGCTGACTATGATAACCTTAGGACAAGAGTGCGACAAAACATTGAAATAAGTAACAAGTATCGGTGTTGACTTTTTCTCGCAGCACCTGTAATCACACAAGCACATTTCATACAAAATGTCATGACATCTCATAGCAAAGATTACTGTTAAATGTAGGATGTAAAAGTAGGTTATTACACGTTAAAAGCTGAAGTGTGTATCATTGTCAGTATTTGACAAACTAGTTGTCTAAATCAAGTTTAAAACTCTTTAAAAAAATTACTCTTTTAAAAAGTAATTGAATCTTACTTTTAAAGATGAAGTAGAATATCGAAGGTTGATGTAGAATCAAACACCAGACTGGAGCACTTGAATGAGCTGTGAAGCTGCAACAGAACACACACACACACACACACAGTATCTTCATATTTTATAAATTATCTGAAACAACATTACAAGAGGTGAGGAATATATTTGTGAAAATATAAACAAAAATAGACTTGAGCTAATATTCCAGAACCAAAATTAAATGAAAAATATAGCATA